ATATGTCACCAGTTGTTCTCTGTCGGTGCTACACTCCCTAGATTTGCCGCCTTCCCACCCCCCGTCAGTAGCTTCCATCATCAAGGTCGCACTGAATGACATCCTTTTTATCTTCTCCATGTGTGTGTAGCTCTTCCGGGAAACCGCATCCCAGAAAGTGTTCTTACTACTTTTTCCACCTGAGTAGCCTACATTGTTACGAATCGGAACTACACGAGGCTTTGTTGACGTGCACGAACCTGGTCAGACCTATCCTGAGTAGTCTCATCGGTGTCTCACTCGGTGATTCTTGTTTGCGTAAATAGTTTTATGCCTCTTAACAATCGAATGGGCTAATCCAAGCTTGCTACTCTAAAAAAAGGTCCTGTGTTTTGTTGTTAATTCCCAGGCGGGATCAATCAGAAGTTTGTTCCCTTCTCTTTTACTCATTGTTGAGTCGGCTTGCGATGACGAGCAACTGTTACGGTAAACTACTGTCTTGCGGTTTGTGTGCATGTGTGTGTGTGTGTGTTGATTTCCGTCTCGCGTCTTTTTTACCAACTGGTGTTTGCTCACGTCCCGGTGCTTTTCCGTTTTCCCCTGCCAATTAGTCGAATTTTCGGATGCAACCAGTAGCATGTCAAACACAGAGAGAGAGAGCGATGCGCACTTTCCCGTTGTTTTTATTCGACTGCAACTTCGAGTTCGATTGTGGCATCTTGTGTGTGAGAAAACCGGTTACCGCTTATCTTCATTCTGGTCTGGTTTTTCACACACGCGCACGGTGCTTTTCATTGATTCACATACACACATGCTACTTTTCCTCACTCATACATGCTTTTAATGGTTACTGTTATAATCACGATGTCGTTCCCCACGATTCTCGATGACGTCACCCGACTGAATTGTGGTACAATTTCTCACTTCACTTTGCGTTGATGAGACTGTCGGATTCATATCACCATTACCGTTCCGAAATGTTTCTCTTTCGATTGTGATTGTGTTCTAAGCACGTGTACCAACTAAGGACTGGCATCGGGAATACAGAAAATGCGGACTTGGGGACGTGTAATGCTAGGTCGAGTTAGTCTTCTCGGTTGCGTGGCTCGGAATCAGCCCCTCAGTTTCGTAACAAAGGGTGCTCGTGCATCTATTCAATTTCTTCATGAATTTATTAGTTTGATTGCATTCTGGATTCGCACTCTGTGACGTCCACCACCGCCTTCTCTACTGCTTCCTTGAAACGGATAACCGAAAATACAGACTGGATGGCTTTAGAAACTGAAAGACCGGAACCTGTTGTTTGGTGTGTAAATAATACAACGTAATTCAAATGCGATGGAAATGCATGTGATAACCGACCGAGAGCGCTGGACAGCTGTTTTGTCCTGTTTGTGACTCGTGAGCAGTGCGCTTAATTTTTGTGTCCCTGTCAGGACTCGAACCGCGATTAGTCGGGCTGGGGGCTCCAAACCCTTACACCTGAGCTACACGGTCGACGGTCATCACCTTGTGCGAATGGCGCAATCAGTTTAGATGGTGAGTGTTTGGATTAGCCCATTCGATTTCCCTCACAGGCACTGTTGATGGTTTTGGGGTATGGTGCCTGATGCCTCTGAACAATCGAATGGGCTAATCCAAGCTTGAAATTCTAAATAGAATGTAATCTTTCAATTTTTGGTCTTGGGCATAAAACAGTTTCCCCATTCCTGACCTGTTCGAGGAGAGCTGTTCCGTTTATGTTTGACGCATGTTCACCTCTCACAAGATTTAAGTATGCACCGGCTGAAGAAGCAGAGACGAGAGATCAGCGGACTTGAGAGAGAGACAGATGTGTGTATATGGGACCGGTTCTTTTATTTTCGGAGTAGTTTATTTCACATCATTCACACAATTACACATTTGATTTGATGCTGTCACTATGATTGTCATGTTTCCGATAATTGTATTTAGTCGCATACGTACGCGTGCGTACAGTTTGTCACTCCTCTCTTTTAGGACGCCTCCGCTATTTTAAAAAACCCTCATTTTTGCCACTTCATTTATGTATGATCATTGACCTCAATTTCTGAAACTTGGCAACGGATACCCTCGAGTTAAACAGAGCTGAATGCTACCAGGCGCGTCCTCGGGTTGTGGATAGCGGGATACCTTGACAGAGGAATGTTAGCTGTGATTAAGTTAGGCCAAACCGCAACGAATAAGCAGTCGCGAACACACAGCAGTGGCACTATCAGAGGGTGATGGTCACCTGGCTCCTGTTTAAAAAACCACATAAACTCAATGACGGGGTCGTGACAAAGGTCGATCGATGTGACTGGCCTTTTAAAACTAAAGTCATTGACCCTCTCACTTCCGAGATGAGGGATTACTTCCTGCCGCCTTGCAGTTTGCATTTGGTTGTGCGAACGCTAGAAGTATGACCTCAAAATGAATAAAAAAACGCCGAGTGACGCTGGGGACGTCTCTCGTACCAAACGCCCAAGAAATTTCATGATCATGATCATGTCTGGAGCCGGCTTATCCTTTCCAAGGAGCCAGTCGAAGTAAAGTAAAGTAAAGTAGGGTATGGTTAATTGGATCTGTTTAAGTTGGTCCGGTAACTGTTCAAATCGAACTCTGATTTCTTCAAAATTCGGACAAAATGGGCTTGTTTCGGTATATTCGGCCTCTTTTCAAAGCTACTTCCGGTAATTAGTTTTCCACAATCCGCTTTTTTTCTGTGGAAAGGGGTTAGCGCAGAACGGGGTTGGTTCACTCACGGACTTGGTGGCCTTTTTTCGTGGTCAAAACTATCCAGATAAGGATCAGACTTCAACAGAAATAGTCCCTAGGCTGCGGTGGAATGATTTCAGCTGTTTGTGCAATAAACTGGGAGGGGGGGGGGGGGAGTATCGGAAAACACCAACGGGCAACAATGAAGATGGCAGAATAGCACGAAAGTA